GATTTCTCATTGCAAGCCATTAGTCATTACACCACCCGCATACCCAAGCTTACTGTACCTGGTATTCACCAATCTAAGTACTGACCAGGCTCGACGGTAATCGAACGGCAACCGGTGTTACAACGTAAGCTCTTGTAGTAGTAGATAAGTCAAATATTCAGCAAATCATTGAGGATATAAGCTCATCACGAAGAGACTACAACTGAAGAAAGACGTGCACTATCACCAAAGTTAAGCAACGTCGAGCCTGGTCAGTCCCTAGATGGAGTGACCGCTTGGGAATACTACATACTGTAAGCTTGGATGTGCGGATGGTGTAACGGATAATGGCAAGGAATTGTTCATCAGAGAACCGAGTTTCAATTCCAGTTGAAAAATAGTGGTGGTTTGGATTTCAGAGGCGTATCATTATTGGTAATTATGGGACTCTTTTTTATGTGCCGTGTCCCATCAGGATGTAGGCGATCATGGCTCTCCACAATTTCTTGTCCTTTGTAGCTCTTAATAAATGTTGTCTTTTTGTTATTTCTCCCAAACTCTGTACTGCCATTTATTTACTCATGCTCATTAACTATGTTACGTGTTGCTTTCCTCTATCTAATCCCCACATGTCCTCAATCTCTTCAGTTAGTATCAAAATTTCCAAGAATTTTTGCCAGATTTTTTGTTTAGTATAAGTTTCCTTTTTGTTTCCATTTTCTCCAAAACGTCGCCGTTGTTCACGTGTTCGGTCCATAGTATCCTCAGCATCCTTAAGCTGTAAAACCAAATTTCTGTTGTTTCAACTCTCCTCTTCATCTTTGAAGATATTTCCAACATTCACTGCCATATAAGAGGACAGATGTCACGTAACAATTCAGTACACATTTCTTTGTTTCTAACGAATTTTTTTCTGTCTCTTAATACTCTGCTTACCTTTTGGAAGGCATCTTTGGCCATCCCAATACGTCTTCAGATCTCAGTGTCGCACTTCTTGTCCTGTTAAAACACTTCACAGATATTTAAATTTTTGTACTTGTTTGATTTTTGTATCTCCGATTTGTAATTTGCATTTTGGTCTCATCCTTTTCCTAATAACCTTTTGCATTCTGTCTCCTTACAATTGATGCTTAGTCCTTTCTTCACCCTTTCCTTTACTTCCTTCTGTTGGAACTTGTGTAGCTTTCTTTCTTGTCCTTTTTTTTTCTTTTCTATACTTTATATTAAGTTTTTTACGCTAGCTTGAATTTCCGAGTGAAATGTATTGTTTACTAATGTGTCACGTGGAGAATTCATCCTGGTTCTAATTTTCATACATTTCGTTACAGTAAAATAGGTTAATATTGCGTTGAGCTGTGTTTTTAATGTTGCTGGCGTTTCATTTCTATAGGAATCATTTTATTTTGGTTATAGACGATGTAGCTGGGTAAAGTTTTGTTAACTAATTGATATATTTGTTTTTAAACAAATTTATGTTCATTATCGCTGAAAAAAATATTTTCTGGGGTTAGCTGTATTCGATTTAGAAAGTTTGGTTATTTTATCACATTGAAGTTTTTTTTTAAATTACTTTGGTGTCACTTCCGTCATTGGATTGTAAGTGTTTGAATCAATTGTATTAACTTTCGTCTTATCGCTATAGAAGGAGTTGATATTGTTTTAAGATACACAATTTAGGACTGATACAGATATTAGTGAAGGAAATGATTTGAAAAAAGTCAAGGCCCTTTATAAATCTACCATTCGTCTGTGCATTGAATATCGGTACGACATCTGGTGTGGAGCTTCTGCTATATATTTTGAGAATGTTGACAAAATCACAAAAATAATCTGCAGTGTTATCAGTCATGACCTGGCAACTCGGTTTAAATCACTTTCCCATCGCTGTAATATAGCTTTCCTGTCTTTTCTATAATAATTTCATGGCAAATGTTTCCTCTTCAGAACATCGATTTCATAAGATTAAGCTAGGTTTCATCATTTCCACAGTGTGCTTGTCAAACTCTCTGCCTCCGGGCAGAGAGGAACCCAGACGAGGCTATGCCAAAGGGGAGAGCCTCATCTGGGGTGGTAGACAGCTACCCGATCCCGTTTTTTACGGGGAATTTTTGGCCGAGTCTACGGGCTCGGACACCCTACAATAAACTCGGCCTTGCGCCACATCCGACCGGGTGGGACGCTTAGTGAATATCTTCACTGTTGAAATTGTTAACTATAAACGCTAAACTAAAATTTTCCGGTTTTCCCTTTTCCGGTTTCTTGCTTCCCAGTAAATTTAATCTTCAAAAATTTAAAAGAAATATCAATCGTTGTTTTCTGTCTTCTTAATTCCAGTACTTTTATTGTCTTCTCTCTTTAAGAGTGGTTTTTTCTCATGTTCCCTAACACTCAGCAACAACATCCAACCCCAAATTGCGACTTAGTAGCTTATTACTTTGATTGAGGTGAAGTGATAAAGAAGAATTCCTTGACATTTATGGAAAGAAACTTCGATTAATTCTTTCATTGATTCTACGGCAATAATCTACTCTCTCACTCTCAGACAAATTCCCAATAAATCACGAAAATTCATAAATAATAAAGAAAAGGAATCTCTGGTGAGCCATGATCGCCTGCGTTCTGAAGAGAGAAAGGCGACTCTGAATTCGAAACTGAGGAGAGGCAATGGGAAACAACTCTATTATCTTTTTAAGAAGTCATGGCAATTCATAGGTAATCCAAAAATATGTTGAAAACTAAACTTTAGACTAAAAGTTTGGGTCACCGTGCATTTTTTTACAAAACACCTTAAAATGTGATATTTTTGTATTTTTTAAATTAACTGTTTCGTTTTCGGGCCGATGGGCATTAATATTTTCTAGGTGGTAACGTATAATTAATACGGGATTTATTAGAAAACTATAATTAATAACTTTTCTCATAGAAACCTATAATATAGGACTTTTATTCTTATCATTGATGTTGGATTTTACGTTGGACATTAATTGGATTAAATAACCTGAGTCTACATTATTGCCACAGATATTGATTTCATAATTGATTTCACAGTAATATAATGTCTCCCTCGTTGTTGTTGTATACGTTTATTATTCTTGTTCTTGTCTGTGTTTTACTGTTGTGTCGTCATTGTGTTTTTACATCAGTCGTATTTGGTGTCTCTCACCAGGAGATCATGTGACAACAAGTCTCTTCAGTAAACCAATATTGTTCTCCATTATCTCGGGGATCTTTGTTGATTATTTCTAATATCAAAGATGTCTCTCCATTTTCGGTTCAGTAAGAAAGAGAGAGAGAATGTGTGTCTCTTGATAATAAACATGGGAAAAGAAAGCTTCTTTCACGATGTCATCAGCTTAGATTAGTCTCTTCCTTATCTTTCTATATTGTTATCTTTTCTTTTCTGTTTTTTTTTTTCTACGAAATACAATGAAATCAACCAGAACATCATACCGGTCACAACTCCTTAACTATAACAATAGCAGCAACTTCACCCAACACAATCAGGTTCGATGCCTTTTACTCATCTTGTAAAGACGTCGGTTTGTCAACCTGGCCAGTGATACAGGCTTATGAGTTCGCGCTTAAGGTGCGACACTTTTGACATACAAAGTCCTTAACACCAGCTACCAACAATCACCGATCATTTCACTATATTACTGGAGTACAAATATTAATTATAAGGACTCGAGCTACAGCTTATTTAATAAAGATATTGGCACTTAATATATTGACACTTAATATATTGACGCTTAATATATTGACGCTTAATATATTGACACTTAATATATTGACACTTAAGCTAGAATAAAAATTACTTTAATTACCGAAATAATTGTAAATTTTAATGTAACTTTGACTATTATCATCAGCAGCTTAAATATCAAACATGCTTTATCATCGATTGTGTCGTTACTACATCATCGTCGTCATCATCAATATCATTTTCTTCTATTCATCATCATCGACGCCATTGTGGTTCTTGAATTGCGTAAGAGTAACAATAAGATTTGTGATGGCTGCGCGTATCTATGCTAGCGACACCAGATCGTACTCGCTGAAACAACCCTTTCACGGCCAAACCCTCTTGTTTTGAAATCGACTTAGGGAAAAAGAGAGAGAAAAAACAAGACATAGATAGATAGATAGATAGATAGATAGATAGATAGATTTCTCAATATACATGCGTAAAACATCCCCCCCACAAAAAAAAAACAGCTACAGGGTGCCCACAAAATAACAGGAAAATTTAGATTTACTATGTGATGAAAAAAAAATTACTATATATTTTACTATATGAATGAACTAAAAAAATAACTAACATAATTTCTTTGTTCTAAGATTCTGCAGTTATAAAATTTCCAACGCTATGTGATTGATTTCTTTAAGAAAGAACATCCAATTTGGGGACTGAAAATGGCAAGAAATTTTGCCCGAGTTCTTTAATTTAAACGCCACATCTAATATTTGTGTTTTTGTTCTGTTTTAAGCTACTAAATTTCTATTTTTTGCGTTTGCTTCAAACAAAAATTCCAACAATTAAATAAACTGTTCCAAATTTCATGATTTCTTTTTTTTGTGCGTGTGTGTAATTTAACAAAGGTTTAAAAACAGTAATTGACAACGGAGATGTGCTTTGATAAGCGATCAATAAAGCAAACAACTCTACCCTTAATAACATACTTGCCCTAACAACAGTAGCTATACACTCTTACCATCATAGTCATCCTTGACAGTAGCCAAAAAATATTGATTCATTTTTTTACGGGTTATCAACCTTTTGCAGGTTATGTAAAGCCAGAAAATATTTTTAGATTCGAAGAATTTTTTGTGAGGGTAATAATGATTTAGTGATAGAAGTTTTACTAATGAACCCGTAGGTGGGGAAGAATAGTTAGATTCCGACCCTACCCAAGAGTATTTGTGCGTAAGTGAATATAACAAACCCAACCGGAATTGGAACGCAGCTCTCAGATTAACAATTCAAATCTATAATCCATTACACCAACCGACCTTCTAAACTTACCTGCTATTCCCATACGGTCACCCATCTAGGTACTGACAAGGCTCGACGTTGCTTAACTTCGATGACATTACGGGAACCGATGTTTCAACGCGATGTGGCCATAAGCCCAGCAAATATACACGCACGCGCACATACACACGCACACACTCACAGATACAGACACAGATTGATGTGTCTGTATGTTTGTGTGTGTGTGTGTGTGTGTGTGCGTGCGTGCGTGCGTGCGTGCGTGCGTGTATATTAAAAACTCGAGTCATTTTTTTTTTGCTTCGTCATACCGGGGCTTTCTATGGATGTCATGCATGCCACGAAACGCGTTCAGAAATATCTAAACTGACAGTTATATAGAACCGCCTTCTAAGATCTATGATTAAAAATGGTTTCGAGTTAGTAAAATGTGTAGGTCTTAACGAGGAACCACGTGGACTGGCGCTACATAATCCCAAAATACTGTACCAAATAATAGAAACCACATCATTTAAGGACTTTCAACAGCAGCAACAACTAAAATGGATAATAAATGTGACTCGACGAGAAAATAATAACATAATCAAGATGTTGACATTCCATATTTCTTCGAACAAAAGGAGAGGAAGAAAAAAACCCCATCAATACTGGAAAGAGCAATAACAGTTACTGGATTTGAAAAACATTTTCTTCAGAAATTGATTTAATAAAGATTTTTTAAATTTCAACCGAAAGTAGCACTGGCTACTCGGTCAAAGAATACAGAAAGTTTCCTTATAAGGAAACGGCTAATATAACGATTCCTATTACCATATTCTTGCTTCAATGTTTCTCTTTCCTTATATATAATGACTGTTCTGAAAGTAATGACTCCTGTTTTATTTTGCACAACACCGGAGATCGATGCTGATGTTTAGGCTGTAGAAGTTATACCCTCTAACCAATAATTGTCTCGTTACTACGAATAACTAAGTGGCAAAATGTCGTCTGACATGAAAATGGGTAGAAAACCCAAACTGCAATCATTGACATTCATCGACGCTTGCTGAATATTTACAGAGACCAGATTGTGAAGTGGAGTAGACGTTTATCACTTGGGTCCTGTTTAGGATTGGGTTTCCGGTTCCTTCTAAAGTCTTTTTCATTCTCTTTCAATCCCAGTTGTCCCCTCATGTCTCAGTGGCATTATAGCCTTGCTTGGGGTGAATTGATTAATTAACAAAAAGCAGTGTTTTAGTTCTCTATCCAACGGTGTTATTTCGCGCACTATATATATATATATATATATATATATATATATATATATATTTGCATGTGTGTGTGTGTGTGTGTGTGTGTGTGTGTGTGTGTGTGTGTGTGCGTGTTTACATATTTTTTTTCAATCATTTCACTCCAAGCAAGGCAATAAAGCCACTAGGACGCAAGGGGTTACTGAGTGTTAGAGAATATGAGGGAAAAACTAGTATTAAGAAGGAACAAGAAAAGAACAAGAATTAAGAAGACAGAAGATAACGATTGACATTGCATTTAAATTTTTGAAGATCAAAAAAAGCCAGAACAGAGTTACACAAACGAGAAGTACGAGAGAAGAAACTATTAGCATAGGACTTACGGTTACATCTAACTATTTCAACTGTAAAATGAATACTTGCCACAAATCTAGTACTGTACTTACATTCATAAAGTCTAGGTATCATAGAGGAAAGCTCATCAGAACAGTTACCATAAAAGTATTTATAGAAAAGGTACAAGGAAACTACACTACGGTGGTGGGAAAGTGACTGAAGCCGAGATGCAAGGTCAGGACCAATAATATTGCAGATTCTTTTCAAGAATTTCTAAATATATAGCAGGAGCACCACACCAGCAGTATTCAAACCAAAGACGAATGGTAGACTTATAATTCTGGGGAGAAAATTGTTCTAGTAAGACACAGGAAGCAACTTTCCTATCAGCTGACCTAGCACTTGATTCAATATCTTTTCACTTTATGTCAGTGGAAAACGTTAGCCCGAGAAGGCCCAACGAGTTGCCTTCCTGGAGGTTAGCATCAGCCATGATGATAAATGGTAAAAAGGGTTTTCTCAGAGATCAGTTTAGTTTTGGAGGCGTTAAAATCAACAAGCTATTCGTTGGCCCAACTAACAATAGAAAGTAGATCCTTTTTTTTAGATCAGTTGCCAATTTGACATTATCGAAGGCGCGTTCGAATTTCCTACTAAGGCAGGAGTAAATGGTTGTATCATCATCATAGATATCGAGTTGAGAATTAATGCTATCAGGAAGGCCATGTGGATCCAAGGACAGAGCCCCTGGGTGGGGGCGCCTGCATTAATGCAAAATGATCCCTGTAAATAAACTCCTCATGCTATCCTCTACCTTTATAAGAGCCAGATCAGGCCAAAAATGGAGTACTGTTGCCATATTTGGGCAGGTGCTGCCCAGTCCTCTATTTCCAGTCTTGATAGAGTTCAAAAACATTTCCTTTTTGAAGAGTCCTTGTTGAAGAAGAATTATTTTTACCCTCCTACCTCTTTCTCACAGGCGGGATGTGGCGAGTCTCTCACTGTTCTATCCCTATTACCATGGAAAGTGTTCGAACAAACTACTAGGACCCGCCATGACACTTACATAGTAGCAAACCACTCACATTCCCTCCGTAGTCCATCGGCGAGAAGTAAATTCTTCTTCCGGCGAACCCTTGCCCTGTAAAATAAACCCCCAAGAGGATGTTTCCCTGATCACTACGATCTTAACCTGTTCATGTCTAGAGTTAACCATTATCTACCCCTCTGATCCATATAAACTACTCCTTAACCCTCTACCTCAAAAGGACCCGGGCCTTGTACAAGGTGAACCTTACCGTAAAAAAAAATCTAAAAGCGTTGCCGTTCAGGACCACTTTCATTTCGTATTTCGATAAAGACTGAAACAGTTCAAACATTCGACCAAAAATATTTTTTTTGTAGTTTCCATGAAAATAAAAAGGCATTACTTTTAAAGTAGATAGATAGATAGATAGATAGATAGATAGATAGATATGCATACAAATTCATTCAAAGGTTGTATATTACAGAATTTAAGTACAGAAAAAAGAGTTCTCCATCGTCAACTATATTAACGAAAATGCTTTGTAACTGATATGCCACAATAAGCAACAAACAAATCACTTTCCTGTAAGAGCAGGTATGATAGCAATGGACGTTTCTTATTCACATGAAAAGAGAAACTTCAGTTTTTTTAACACTATTGATTTTATTCAATTTATTCTTCTTAACATTCTTCTCATCCCTGATTGTTATCGACATTATTATAGACACAATGTTTCAGGCAAGTACGCTCTAGTCATCTTCAGATTACTGATTTGACTGATCGGGAATATTTAGTATTTTGCACATATTGCTCATTCCTAATGATATCACAGTGAAAATATTGTCCGGCTTACGACCACGTCACGTTGAAACATCGCTTTCCGTACGATCACCAAAGTTAAGTAATGTCGAGCCTGGTTAGTACCGAGATGGGTTACCGCTTAAGAAGAGCAGGTACTGTAAGCTTGGATGTGCAGGTGGTGTAATAAATAATGACCCGGAATTATTAATCGGAGAGCCGAGTTCCAATTACCGTTGAATTCGTTATATTCACTTACGCGCTAATACTCTTGGCAAAGGTATGAATCCATCTCTTCGTCCCCCAGAGCTATGGGTTAATTAGTAATCACTAAATCATTATTAACACCAAAAAAATTCTTTCAGTCTAAAAAATATTTCTGGCTTTAGAAAACGAATCAATAAACAATAAAAAAATGTCCATGTGATGTTTCTTGTTAGCATCTGTTGCACCAGAATATATGGATTTCTTGACCTGATACTAGGATTTAACTCCTGACCACTAGCTAATTTCTTCTTCTTCTTCTTCTTCTTCTTCTTCTTCTTCTTCTTCTTCTTCTTTGTGCCATATCTCTTCAGGGTGTGAGCGATCATGGCCATTGTTGCTCTTAACAATGCTTGTCTTTTGACTATCCCTCCTACTCCCAACTCTAACATCCATTTACATAGGATCGTTAGGTAGATTGCTCACTGTTTTCCTCTGTCCCTCTTACTTTCGGTATGTCGTGTGAGTGTCAAATTCTCCAAGCTCTCTTTCCTCATTACGTGTTCTGGAAATTTCAACCGTTTCTGATTCTAAGTATAATTGGCTTTTTTGTTTTCATTTTCTATAAAACTTCCTCGTTTCTCACATGTTCAGTCCATTGTATTCTCAGTATCCTTCTGTAGAACCACATTTCTGTTGCCTCATGTCTCGTCTTCATCTATGCCACAGAGGGGGACTGATATTGCCTAACAGTGCTCTTTCCTTTGTTTTTAATTAAAAAAATTGTCCTGTTTCTTAATACTTTGTTTAGCTTTTCGAAAGCATCCAGGCATCCTTTGCTATTTCAATGCGGCTTTAGATTTTGAGGTCACCTGTTCCGTCCTTTGTTAAAACACTTCACAGATATTTAAACATCTGCACTTGTTGGATTTTGATGTCTATAATTCATAGTTCATATCTTGGGCTCATCTTCTTGTTGACAACCATTTATTCTGTCTTCTTACAATTGATATTTAGTCCCTTTTTTTCCTTTCTTTTACTATCTTCTGTAAAAGTTCTAGCCACTTCCCTTTAATTGATGAAAATCAATTAATGAAAATCAATGGTATTACATAATTATGGGTGTGACTTCATGCTGTCTCAGTCAAGAATAAAAAGCAGCTTTTTGAGTACAATTACATTTCATTTAAAACAAAGGAAAGGTTACTGAACTCTTATGTAATATCAGTTTTCATATATAGCAGTGAATATTAGACAATCTCCTTATAGATGAAGAAGAGACTTGAAACAACAGAAATGGAGTTCTACAGTAGGATGCCGAGAATATCATGGAGCGAACATGTGAACAACAACAAAGTTTTAGAGAAAATGGAAACAAAATTGACTCTTATAAATAACATCAGAAAGATACAATTGAAATTTCAATGGCACATAATGAAGAAAGACGGTTTGGAAAATTCGATACTCACAAGACAGATTAAAAGCAAGAGGGAGAGAGGGAACAAATTTTTCCAGTTTCTTAATACTTTGCTTAGCTTTTGGAATGTATCTTTAGCTATTCCAATGTGACTTCGGATTTTTATGTCATATTTCCGTCCTTTGTTAAAACACTTCACAGATATTTAAACATCTGCACTTGCTTGATTTTGATGTCTTCATAGTTTTCATAGTTCATATCTTGGTCACTTCCTCTCGTTGCCAACCATTGTCTACATTTTGCCTTCTTACAATTGATGCTTGGTCCTTTCCTCTTGCACTTTTAATACGTTCTGAGGACCAATCCTTTCTTACAGATTTCCTTATCTAGAAATTCCTACAGTTTTCATTCTGTGTTTGCATCTAACTATCATATACTGTTAAGATTGTACTGACCAATAATAAATCCCGGTGGGACTTCTAGTTCTCTTATGCTTGCCTCTAGCTATTTCAACTGTAAATTGATGAGACCTTGTTGCTTAAATTCATAAAAATCTAAGAATCATGGCGAAGAGATCATTCGAACAATTACCATGAAAGTATCTATAGAAAAGACACTGAAAAATAACTTTACCGCAGTGGGAAAGCATCTGAAGCCGAGCTGCCAGGTCAGGACCAATAATATTGCTGATTCGTCTTTGAATTTTATCAAGAATCCAGGCGCACTGGCAGCAATATTCGAAGCATGCAGGAATGGTAGACTTATAGATATGTAAGACTGATTCAGAGAAAAATTGTCTAATACGACACAGTGAACCAACTTTCTTAGCAACAGATCAAGCAATGGATTCAATATAGTCTTTCCCTTTCATGTCAGCCGAGAATATTAGTCCGAGAAGGCGCAAAGAGTCACTCTCCTGGAGGTTAGCATCAGCCATACTGATGGAAGGCAGAAACGGGTCTCTCAGAGGATTAATAAAGAGCAGTTTTGTTTTGCAGGCATTAAAATTAATAAGCCATCCTTTGCCCTAGTTAACAACTGACTGTAGGTCATTTTTGAGATCAGCTGTCAATTTGACTTTATTGATCTGATCAGACTTATTATCGAGACAAGAGCAAATAAAGGTCTGCAAAAATGCATTTCATATAATAATAATAATAATAATAATAATAATAATAATAATAATAAAGAATTTCAAAACCTGTTAAGTTATAAGGAACTGTAAATCGAAGTCACAAAAATGTGGAAAAATTAAAACTACGATGATCCCTGTTGTGATAGGAGCATTGGCTATGGTAAAGAAAAGTACAGAAAATCACGTGAGTCAATTTCCTGGACTCATTAGCATCTCAGAGCGACAAAAGTTTATTTTATGCGGAACTGCACATATCATCCGCAAAGCCCTCTCCATCTAAAAGAAATATCCCAAATGTGCATAGATACTCACCTTTCTTGCGCCTTTTAATCATACACTCCGTAGGGGACTTGTTAATTAGGTGCTTAAAATTACTCTATGGCAACATGATACAGCACACAATAATAATAATAATAATAATAATAAATCATTTATTTTACACGGATGATTTAAAAATGTATGCTAGGAATTAAAGTGAACTGGAAAGTCTCCTGAAAAAAAGTAAAATGTTTCAATGGTGACATTGGAATGGAATTCGGTTTGGATAAATATGCTAAAGCCACAATTTTACGAGGATCAATAGAAAAAACCTCCTCTATTAGCTTAGACCTTAGGGTAACAATCAAAGATTTAGAGCAAGAAGCTTATAAGTACCTCGGTGTAAATGAGGGTGAATGAATTCACCATAAAAAATGAAAGAAAAAGTGCGAAAAGAGTACTATAGAATGGTGCAACTTATATTAAGAACTGAATTGAATTCTCGGAACAGTATTATGGCCATTAATAGCCTTGCCATCCCAATGGTTCAATATATTTTCAACATCGTGAACTAGACTCTAATTTAGAATCTAGTTCAGACGAATGGATTCTAAGACAAGAAAGCTTCTTTCTAAGTATAAAATACATCATCCAAAGGTTGATGAAGTACGTCTATACATAACCCGTAAAAGAAGGTGCAAGAGGTCTTATTCAGCTAGAATTGTCATACAAGACAGTAACTATTGGCTTATTAACATACATGGAAACAACAAAGGACTGGTTGATATAATTAGTCAAACACGAAAACAGAAAGAAAAAATATTCAATCATGAAAAAAGGTTGTAAATACAAACGAGATTTACATTTAGTAGATTCTGTAAAAAATCTAAACAGAACCCAAGAATCAAATTTTACAGCAAGAAAAAATGAAAAGAAAACCAAAGATAAAGCTCTTGAACAGATAAAACAACGCTGACACGACAAAACTCTGCATGGCCAATATCCAGAACGAGGCTAATAAAGCCGATGTTGATAGAGTTAACACTCATTGATGGTTAAGGTCATCTGGATTAAAGGCTGAAATGAAAGGCTTTATTCTTGCAACGCAAGGCTAGAGTCTTTTTCACTAGAAACTTTCAGGCGAATATCATACATAATAGTATGGATCCAAAATGCACGTTCTATGACAAATATCAGGAAACCATAGACCATCTAGTCTCAGGATGCTCTGTACTTGCGCCAGATGAATATAAAATTGTCGCGATAGAGTGGGACAATACTTACACTGGACAATTTGCAAACACTTTGGTAAAGACATTAATAAAGCCTGGTGTGAACATCACCCAGAACCGATTACAGAAAAAGAACACATCATAATTATATAGGATTACACCATCTTTACAGACAGGAAGATTGAAGAAAATAAGACAGACATAACTGTCAAAAAAACGAAAAAAAAAATTGCCTACTAATTGATATGATTTTCCCAGCGGACTGTAACATAACAACCGAGTAATTTGAAAAACTCTCGAAGTATAAAGACCTGAAAAATGTGGAAATTGAAAACAAGAATAGTATCAGTCGTAGTAGGTGCGCTTGGAATGATAAACAAAGGAACACAACAACATTTATAAAAAAAATCCCTAGAAATCCCAGCTCAAGAGAAATAAAAAAAATTGTCTTGATAAGTACAACCCACACATTAAAAACTTTGTCCATGTAACGTTAGTAATGTTATGGGAGTTAGAAAAAAAAACAAATCATGAAATGTTGCCATAACAACACAGCTCTACCTACCTTAGGTCTTCACGTAGACTTGGTAGAAAGTGTGACCAGAGCAGAAATCGAATGATGGCGATAATTATAATAACAACAAAAATATAGACGGGACGTAAAAAATAGTTGAGAAAGAAATAGAGGAAAAGTATTAAAATATTTGGAAGATGAGATAACGCGCTTGTGAAAGATTAAAAAAGTTAAAACAGTTAAAGACAAAAAAAAGTGACAAACTTCAAAATTGGGGCTGTGATTCGAACTGGGATCCTTCAGATAACAGCACTGCTTGGGGCAGTCAGAATTCTGAGGTTGATCTTAAGAGCCGAGCGCGTGGTTATTTGGTATGAACCGATTCTAATCGATTCTGTTTGAGAA